GCAAGAATTGCATGGACTGGATTCACCTCTCTTCCTAACTTCTCAACCAAATCGACTACTGCTAGCTCGATCAGCCCCAAACATTTTGGAAAGATTACCAAACCATATATACCCAAAGCAAATACATCTCTACGCACGTTTTCATCTACGTGTGCTTCAGCTATCTTTTGTAAGTGAGACCACGGTACTCCCTCACTTTCTCCCTTTCGTTGCAAGCGATCAATTACCCATTTGTCGCACGTGCCCGAGATCTTTGCAAGCTTTGACTTAAGAGAAGGCCCTTTTATCGATCGGGAGTAAACTTTGTCTATTTTAACGCTTGAAAAATTCAACAGAAAGTGATATTCCTCGAGGGTTGGAGTCATGTCCTCTCGGTTAAATGTGAAACAACTATAGGCCGTATTCCAAAACTGTATTATGCTTCGTATGAGAACCGGGTCTACCTTCACGTATATCAGATGAAATATATCCCCATAAGTCTGCTGAAAAGCTTGCCTCTCAATAAGATTCCAACTTTCCCAAATTGTTTTCAATCCCTGAAGCTCATTCTGTTTTAAAGAAGCTGGTGTATAATCAGACAGATCCGACACGTAGTCCCCTGATAGACTATCTCCCTGCTCTTTCTGCTTGGCTTCGGACCAATTCCTTACATCTGCTGGATTCACCTCTTTGTTTAGGAAACTCCTTTCCATCGTGAAAGTCTTTCCACTTTATCGATACTCACAGATCAATCGCCTTTTCTAATGATATGTCTATGCAGTATGAATAAAAAAACAAACAAAACAAACAAAACAGTTAATCAAAATAATTGTATAAATTTAGCATAAAAAGATATGTAAAACGGGAAATAAATCTCCTCCATTTATGTATTATCTACCCAAATAATATTCCTCAAAAAGGGTCCTACCCAAACATGCTTTCTACCCTCCTAAATTTATTTAATTAAATTCTAACTGCACCTAAATTCTATTTCACATGCTTTAAAAGAATAAATCTATTCTACACACTCAAAAATAAATAAATAAAATAAAAATAAAAAGGTTAGAGTAGGTTTCTCCATTGTGTACGCCTATTTTAGGTACCTATTGACGGACAGAGGTTCAGTATGACTCTACCTAGTGTGACCGTTCTATGGTTCATTATATGCATGGTTTCGGCTCTTATCAGGAAAAAGGAACTCGAATTGTCCTTGATGTCGGTGCTCCCTTGGGCTACCAAACCCTCAATCCTCACCCATTACAGGTTTCAAACGGACCGAGTTCAATTCGAGGGGATTCACTGCTTTATACCCATACGAGGAATAAATTCCTACGAAGGTATAAGGTATGTATCCCATGGGTTATTTGCTAAAACTCATACGAAGAATAAATTCTTACGAGAGTAAAGCAATCACCCTAACTAATTTGGATCGAAGCTCATGTCTAGAGCTCATGTTATGCTAATGAAAGTGATGTGTGTGAGGAGAAACAAACAAACCTTTGACTCAAAAACAGGGAAAATAAAAAAATAACACTCAACGAGAACTAAGAAATATCTGAAAAAAATGAAAACAATTAAAATGTTAGTATATAAAAATAAAGAGATAAAATAATAAATAAAAATTCAATACATAGATCATAGTTTTACTAAAGATTCGAACTTAATTTCCACCATAACGACCATGTGTAAGCGACCTACAGCTTGACTCTCTAAAAAAGTCCCCAGCAGAGTCGCCAAGCTGTCATAATCATTTTTTTGTAAAACAATTAAATATTATTTTAAAAATAATTATGACTTTAATTTGGAAAAATTGGGGAATTTGGAATTAATTTGGAATAAATTGAATAGAGTCGCCATCGACCTTTAGGTTAGGTAGGTCGAATACCTAAAAACGTCTTTTAAAACAATTTAAAAAAAATTATTTTATAAGACAAAATTTGGTATGCGTCACCAAAGATTTGATTAAATGGATTCGGGAATCGGTTACGTGTAGGGAATGATTAACACCCCACAACGCCCAAAAACTGGTACTGTGTCGCTTACACATTGTCGTAATGGTAGAAATTACAAATCGAATATAAAATTAAAATATGATCTATTTATCGAGTATTGATTAATTTGCTTTGAATTAAATAATTAGAGAAAAATCTTTAACTCGAAAATAAATATCAAAATTAGCAATCCTCCGTCGGGAAAGCTAACTCGAATATTTCTTATCAGTTAAAGAATATTCCCTCCTCATTAATATTAAAAAAATGTGAATCAAATATAAAATGATAATAGTAATGAATTAAAATAGAAAAGACCCGGATAAAAACGGGTACATGTTCATTACCCATCATTTCATTGTGATGTACTCAATGACCCTTCCAGGTCATATTTGAGTCATTTGCTTGACAAAACTTCGATTTTCATGAAGTTTTTCATTTTAATTCCAGCTTATATTTCGCAGGTGCTTTTCCAGACATACTGCAGGATTGCCTTCACCAGGGGGGGATTCTATGTGATTAGAAACTTTCATTGTTGGTGATAGATTTGCTGGAAAAATAAAAACAATGCTGTTTAGAGTCAAATAACTACTTCTCTCTTTATTTTTCATCCTTGTCTTCCTTGAATGCATTACAGCAGATGGTCGAAACAGAACTTCAAAAAGGATAAGAGCTCCCCTCAATAATGTAGGTAACAGTGTTATCGATGGCATCGGTACGGAGGAGGTCATAAGTTTTGAGGATGACAACAAAGTAATGGGTGAAAGGAAGGGCAGCCACAGCTGAGTTTCTGTGTCCACAGATGCACTTTTTACATCGGCAATGACTGCAGCAGCTGGTTTAGGTGCAGTTCCTTTTTTCTTTGTGGAGCTTGATCCTCACTGGGCCGGGGTATGCAATGGAATGGCTGCTGGTGTCATGTTGGCTGCAAGTTTTGTATCTCATACAGGAAGGTCAGGAACATGGTGCTGGAAGTTGGGTTGTGATTGGGATTTTAGCTGGTGGCATTCTTATTTTGCTTTGTAAGAAGGTGATCACTGTTCATAATGTCAGTTGTTAGGTTTGATCAATCACCATTTTAGAATTATCATATAACTAGGCTCTCATAAAGGACCACTGTTTTTACCCCACTTTCAATCCATGTGTTGAAGATATCATCCACAGATTCAGTTTCTGTTTCAGACCTTCAATGCTTATCATGAAGGATCATTATTACTTCTGCAGAGAGTTTCAGACCGCCGACATTGCATGGCATCCACAATGCTGTCTTTTGAACTTATAATTTTTTGGTATGGCTGCATTTGTAGGTGATATTAACATCTTATATATTTCCCATCTTTTTTTGGGTTTCAGTTTCTTGAACAATATGGGGAAGTATGCTGGATATAAAAGGAGCTGATGAAACTAAAGTTGTTCTAGTCGTTGGAATTATAACGCTGCATTCATTTGGAGAGGGCTCTAGTGTTGGAGTTTCCTTTGCCGGCTCAAAAGGTTATACTCAAGGTCTTTTGGTAACTTTGGCCATAGCTGTACATAACATACCAGAGGGATTGGCTGTGAGCACGGTTCTTGCATCAAGGGGTGTTTCCCCACAGAAAGCAATGCTATGGAGTATAATTACATCCTTACCTCAGGTATCTAAGCATGTAGTTCTGTTTGTCAGTCGTTGAGCACATCTATCTGTATCCAATGAAACCGGAACTTCCAAGATCAGGTTTAAAAAGAATAGTAAAAGAAGAAATGGTGAAGTAGAAAAGTTAGTTAAAATTAAAGACCAGGAAAAATAGCTTCAATGACAGATGATTGTCAACAGACAATTTGTAGGCACCAACTTGATTTATAGGGTTTTTGAGAAATCTTACAAACTTTCAAGTGTGATTTATATTACTATATTGAGTTTCTACTTTGTTTCATCTGTTAAAATGGGAAAAAGGAAGGATAAAAGTAAACTATTAAGGTCATGTGAGGGTAAATCAATATTACTTTTGTTCTTCTCAACTTTTTTGCCAGCCAATTGTTGCGGTTCCTTTTTTTATATGTGCCAATGCATTTAATAAATTCCTGCCCTTTTGTACTGGTTTTGCTGCTGGATGTATGATTTGGATGGTTGTTGCTGAGGTTCTCCCTGATGCATTTAAGGTATTGCTATTCGAGCACTTTAAATAAATGTTTTTTTTTATAAGAATTGCAGGCCTCGTTAAAAACCTCCTTCTTGATTAAAGGATCTTGTAAAAAGCTCCTTAATCAGCGGAAGGAGGAAAAGAGTGCCTTAAGATTTCATTAATCAGAAAAAACATAAGAATACAACCAGGTCGCCACCCCCAACATAAGCAAACAACCAAAAACAACCGAGAAAACCCTACACGACAACGCTAACACAGCTAAAACCTTATAAGCTACAACAACAGTCACAAAAATGACTGACCAGCCTTAACACCTGAACGTAGCCTGAAATCAACACAAAACAAGCCAGAATCCGAATATCACAGCTAACTCAATCCATAACAAACAAAATCCTAAACTTCCGCACGAACAGATATGCGAAAAAGCAGCTGCGGGCTTGCTGTGGGAGTTGGTCTTGTTGCTCTCTGTTTGACTTGCACCAAGTTAGTTTGCTTGCACACACCTTACTGCAATTCTGCTCCAGAGGCTGTCAGATAAGATCTTAAGCACCACACTCATGCTGCTTCAATCCATGCTTTGAGTCTGTCCGGCCTTTGCTTTAGTGTTTTGCGGGGTTACTTTAGTTTGTGGACTAGATTATGGGGAGAGAATGATATGGACTCAATGAGAGGATATGATTCCTGTCGTTTTGTATGTTTAGTTTTACTCTTTTTACACAATTTTAACGGTCAATGGGATCCTTATGCATTGCTAGTTTGAATTCACTTCATAGCCTTGCCTCTAATCAAGAGAAAGTGTAGTGTTAATGGATTCTGCCACTGGTGAATACAAAAATGTTACATTCTCTCTCTTTATTTATGGACATAGTAATAGATAAGAACAAATCTACACCCATAAAATGGCATTAAATCCGGAGATATCTTGGATCTTATTACAAACACATACTACATCCAAGTTACAAGAAAGTCAGAGAAAATATTGGCTAAACAGCCAAGGATGATGGGGGAAAACGGGGTAAAAATCACCTAACAGTCGACCGATTGGGCTCCAAATTGTCACCACCATCCATCAACTTGTTCATCTTCATGTTTGGTGGCTTCTCTTTAACACTCTGAGACCCAGTCATCCTTGCGAGTATCACAAATGACATTCCTCCGACTACATTATTTAAGCATCTCAGAACCAAGACTGACGACTTAAACACCAAGGGGGGCATTCCTTTGGCCAGTAGAAACTCGACCCCATTCAAGGTTTGATACCTCAAATTGCTGCTAACACCCATGTGTGCAGCCCAGGTAAGGGCATTCAACAAGGTAGGAGGAGGTTTGTTGGGTGTTTCGAAATTGGGATCCATCTTCTTCCTCAGCTTGATCAACCCATTTGTGATTGCAGTTCCCACAAGGCCGGCAGCAAATCCAACAGCAGCAAATAGAGCTCCTTTGTAGACAAAAGTTCCGAGACGGTTCGTCAGGGCATAAGCACCTGGTTCAAACATATGACCCGGTGGACAATTTGCAAAGAGAGCAGGGAGATTTGAAGAAGAAGAAGATGCTGATGCTGTTGGAGCCAAAAGATACATGAGGGTGAAGTTCAAAATGGAACCGACGACAAGAGTTGAGAAAACGAAGTCAAGCTCATTAAGACCAAAATTAGGACGTGTAGACATGTCTCCAACAACACAAGCACTCACCCCAACCAACTCTTCCATTAAAACCTTGAAAGGGAACTGGGGATCCGCTGTAACTCTGTCTCTCCATCCGCTTAGGAGAAGGCCCAGAACGCCAAAGCCCTTCCATGAATCATCGTGGGAATCGCCATCTCCTCTACCACCACCTCCGCTATCACCAACCCCGTGGTTTCCATCGCCTCCTCCAGCGCATAGGGAGTCAAGTTTGGGAACGCAAATCTTAGAGGGCTGAAAGCGGTTTTGAGGGAACGAAACTACACGTGGTGGTTGAGATCGGAGGCAGCGAGTATCACTCGTGTTGGGCAATTGTCTCGTCAACTCCGAGAAGCGATACCGAGCCATTGCAGCCATTTGATCGATCGAATTTGATTCCTCAAACTCAACTCTACAAAGAGCAGAAGAGAAAATAAGAAAGTAAAACTCCTGGGTTTTTACTATGCAGAAAAAGAGCAAAGCGAATGTAGTTGAAAAGGTTCTACCAAAATCTGAGATAGTATTTGCAGAGATGGAAATTGTTGGGTGAAGACTGAGAAATAGGTTAATTTATTATATATTATCAAAAGAAAATGGGGGAAATGTTGATTCCTTAGAATTATTTGAGAAATTATAATTTTTTTAAATAATTATCAAAATCATCTTCAGCTTTTTATAATTTTAATTTTCTTATTTGCTAACAAAATTCGAATATAACTTTTTGGTGTCATGATCTGTAATCAATAATTTTGATTATTCTTAAAATAATTGTATATTATTAAGAATTAAAACGATCAGTTTTGGTCTATCTAAAATTTTATTCTTTTCAAAATCATACTTAACATTTAGTTTTTGTTTTATTTTAATACCCGTTGTTAAAAATTTAAAATGTTTAATACCTAAATCATCAGTTTTGATCCGTTTTAGTATCTAAATTTTTTTAAAAAATTCAGAACTTAGCATTCAATTTTAAACATGAGTATTAAAATGAAACAAAAATTAAATTTTAGATATGGTTTTGAAAAAAATAAAAATTTAGGTAATAAAACAATCCAAAGCGAGAAAAAGTTCAGTGATTCTATCTAGAAAAAGCGTGCATTATCTTTTGTACACGAATCAATTAAAGTATGTGTTTCAATTCTCCTCAGTATAAGGGTCAAATTGAAAGGGGAAAAAACTGAGAAATTAGCTAAAAGTGATAGTAAGGAAAGAAAAAAAACTTGCAAATGTTTCCTAAAGCATAATTGGGACATTAAGAGAGCTCCTACTTCACCATCTTTAACAAAAGATGCAAATTCCATGCTCTATCCAGAAGACAAGCTGCTTCCATTCTTGGAACACGAATACATCATTATATATAATAATTATTGCACACACATTATATAGCTACTAACACAAGAATGAATCCAATGGATGTACTGAGTTTACAGCAAATCTGACCTCACCAAGAGCCAACTCTTCTCTTTCTCTCCTGTTTAAAACACAATAACAGTTTAACCATGAACAGATATCCCCAGAAATCATTGTTAGCCTAGTTCTTTCAAGTTGTGCTGAACTGATGTGCAATGGATGAAAAGCCACATTTGGCTTAGAGTTCTGTGGCGGGGTAAAAGCACCTCGGATGATTTCATGCTAAAACTCTCAGCGTCCAGTTTTGGGACGTTTCATTCCACTGCAATTAAAAGGCGAAACACTACTGCTTGGACCGGGACTCTCCTCTCTGAAATTTGAGTTTAGCATTGTCAGCTCACGCAACTGCTGCCTCTTCATAAAATCTTGCGACTCATTCTACATATGAGAATATCAAGTTTAGAGAAAAAGGAAAGAAGGAAAATGGTTCTGCAGCGTAACCACGAGGATGCCAAGTATTTTCACAGACGATTTCATGACAAATAATGGAGTTTTCAAGATGTAAGTACATATGAGAGAAAGCTATGGCTATAGCTAACAAACATAGAAGAACAAGATAGCAACGCATACCACAGGTTTCAGTAATTCTTCTACGATTTCCTGAGCCTGCCTAAGCCTTATATCGACAAAATTAGCTTGTAAATCAGCCTCAATTAAGAAGTGGAGTGGCTCATTCAGGTGCTCATAGCCAGGTCTACCTCTGAGCTGCTCTTCCTAAAGACGGCAAATTATTATCCAAAACCGTCTGATTTTTACGTTGAAAGAAAAAGATAAGAGAAAAAATTGGATTTGGGGGTGGGGGTGCTTTGGATGTATAAACCAGAAATTCATTGCATCTGATCTTCTTGTCAACTTCAGCTGAATTGCAATTGAGATATAACAAACACTATCAGAACTTTACAGCAACAAGAGTACTTTTCTAGCTTTACCTTGTCTGAATCCTTTATTGCTCCGTTGCCTCTGACGTATACACGGAAACCCGTAGTAGCTTCTACCCGCTTCAAGGAATTGCCTCTAGGCCCTAGAAGTCGTCCAACAAAATTGAACTAGAGTAACAATGTACAAAAATCAGAGTCTAGACTTCAATACTCATAAAAACATAATTATAATTAGTGACCAAGTTTTAACTAATGTACTACCAGTTTCATATAAAGCTTACATTTGGATATGTATTGACAGGAATTTCAAGACGCAAGATAATCTTCACGGATTATGAACTAGGGCTTGCTGGTGCACCTTGCCAGTCCATCGGCATCCCAGGAGTTCCACTTAGTCTCTGTCAAAATACAAAACGCAAGAGTATCACAAAAGATCAGAAGGCTCAATCCACATGACTGCAAGTGGCACATAAATTGATAATAAGTTTTAACTTGAAATAACCCTCCTTCACACTAACTCACTTGATTTTCCAATATAATATTTTCCCAATGCTTCATTAAAGACCAGGTACTAACATGTGACAAAATAGATTCAGTATGTTACGTTAACAGCTTGAAATACAAAGTCATAAATGAAGAAGTTGAAAGTTATACATCTCAGAAACTACAAATGAACTGATAGATAGTCATTATATTGAGCAAAGCCTTACGCAGTTCGAGTACATTTAACTTGACAACCAATGGATTTTGGACAGGAATAAACTTAGTTCTCATCTGAGTTACGTAAGATAATCCATTGTCAAGTAAACTATTGGAGACTAAATTACCTTTGTGTTTAGTGGCATCAATCAGAGGCCAAGAGGGTTAATAAGAAACTCAGGTATTCACCATTTGAAAAGGCTTTCTAGTGATAATTTGGTTATTTTCCTTGTTTATTGAATTGAACTTGGAAACTAGAGCCGAAACTCATAGTTTTAGAGCGGAAACATATTATTTGCACTAATACATATGACTATGCATGCACCAAACATATCAAAATGGGTCACTTGTAGAGGAATGACACATATAATGTGTGCTCTGGCAGTATGAATGTTACAGAACGCAATAAGTATAGAAGGAAGTAGCTGGAAACTAAACTCGTCTCTGACACGGTCTGCATTTGAAACAGAAAATAATCAGTGTAGGAACTGATTTTAAAGCTCATTTTTCATACTAATAAAGCAAGAGAAACTACTTCAAACTTTATTTTTGTTTGTGATCTTTATAATGTCAGAAAACAGAAAGACTTCAGCACGTTATGCTTCTCCTCTCTGATTTTTAGACACTCAAATTGTAAGGGTATTTACCAGAAACAATCTTAAAGCACATTCAAAGAATCAAAAGCATAAAATTGTACCAAATTGTGAACTTATATGCTGGCATGACATAAATATTTTGCAAATAAAAGAAAGCATTCAATAAACCAACAAAGAATATAAACAATACCTCTTGAGGAAGACTATTCCAGCTGCCTAATCCAGTTCCAGAAATGTTTGACATAATGTTTGAAGAAGCCATGGGACCGGGGCTTCTATGCCTCATCCTGTCAAAGTCACCAAAAACCTTGGTTGGACATCATTCCTGAGACCCGAAATATCTCTGCACATGAAGACCATTATATATAAAACAACAGATAAAGCCATAAAACCATATCAATGCATGAAAGCAGTATAGCATTGAAAATCGAATTAGAAAGACATAAAAGGACCACAGTGGATTATGAAGGTTGTAAAATACGGATAGAAATAGAACATTAACCCCAAGTAAAATAAAACAGATCCCCGCTAATTGAACAATTAAGGGGAAAACTTACAAAGCAAGAACGTGGAGCTTCAAAGCATCATATAATATAGACTAATTATAAAAGAGGAAAAAGTACACTTCGAATGGTAATGTCAGTTGTAGGAAGGTAAACTAGCAGGAACGGTATATAAAGTTACGTTTTCCGCTAAACAAAGAAAATGCACAGCTTCAGATAAATTATTTCTTATCCCAACTAATCAAAGGTGATCAACTCAATCTCCTTGCACTCAGATTAAGCATCAAAAGTTATTATGGATTCAAATTTACCAAAGCTATCAATCAGCGCTTTTTTTTGGGGGGGGGGGTGAGACTTTCACCGAGATTAACTGAATTTCCAGTTACAATGCCACTTCTTTTATAATCAACTTTCTTCTTCTCGAGAGAGGTAAGTAAAACTTGAAATGCAATAAATAAGCTTTCGGAATTTAAAACTTAAGAAGCTCTTTGAAATTGAATGCATATGTGACAGATATATAGCCACTTGAATCAAAAGGGAAAAGAAAGCACACCATAACTCAGGTAGACCTGAGGCTTCTAATATGTAGTCGAGATTCGAGAATGTTTGCCAGCTGAAGATGACATAATTTTTATACTATAAAATCTTGGACAAACACCATGCAGTGACAGTTTTAAACTACTAATTCCGGTGTTGAGGCGCTATCCAAGACACAATGGTGCGGTGGGAGATGTCAAAGTTTCATTATTACAGCACATAGCTAACGAACAAACATTGGGTTGAGTACGTGATCAAGCCAAGACCATCACAATCAAAGAGAATAGGTAATAGAAAAGTAAGCACACCTGACCTTAACATCTCATCACTACGCTCAATCACATTGATCTAACAAGCGTAGTTAAAAATAAAGAAAAACATATCAAGCATGAGAGAGTAAAGATGTAACCTCGATTTAGCAATCGACTACATGTCGGAAGGATTTGCAAGAAAGGACTAAGCTTTTGATGCTCCGCCAACAGCTCTGATAAGAGCTGACTGAGGACAGGCAAAAAGAATCCAAAACCCAATCAGAGATTGTTACATAAACCATAAATATTGTATTGCTACAATAGATATAATTGAGATGAATTACCTATCAATGTCAGGGGTGTTCTAATATGTGGAGAAGCAGTTTTGACAGGGGAGAAGCGGTGATTATACAGACCTGACATAGCTAAGGATCCAGGTTTGGATTTGAAGAAATACAGCACTTCAAGGGAGGCCTGGAAAAGAGAACAACCAAGCCTTGGAAAATGAACAAGGTAAAACACGTATTTACTGCAGTGCTGACTGTTGGTTGAGTGGTGAGTGGGAGGAGCGGCTGAGTTCGGAGAAATTAGGGTGTGTGGATGAATGCAGTGAAGTCCTGTAGCATCCAAGACACGTGTCGTACAGTGCAAAAA